TGTATTAGTAGTATTATATTACTATTTATATTATATATATATGTATGTGTGTGTGGGTGGGTGGTGTGTGTGTATATATATATATATATATATATACATATTTATACTCATGTAAGTTCCTGTAGATGGACAACGATGCGTGCTTCTAAATCGATAATATATGAGTACAAGAATATTGATTTAACTGATTGGTCGAACTGGAAATATTCTGAAGGAAGCAACATTCCTTCAAACACGGCCTAGTCACCTAATCCGCAATCAGTTTTGCCTTGGATGCTTTAGCTTTTATCGAGTGAACACTATTCGATACCATCCACATTCCACAAACCAGGCATTTTCTCGGTCTCCACGAACACTTCTACGACCCCCTGAATGTAAGCTTGCTAAATATATCTCAGAAGGCATAGATATGCTTGATATCAGACCATCAGAAAGCCATCACGAAGAGACCACCAAAAAAACCAACTTCGGTACCAGGGTATCGAACATACTTCCCAGGTCTCTGAACATGTCTGGCGCGCTTTCGTACACTCAAGTATTTGTAACCCGAGCAATACCTCGACAAATGTTCTCGTATCGAGAGTACATAAAAGGGTCAAGTTGCACAATCCCAGAAACACCAACTGTGAGGATATCGTATTGCTATCTTGTCTACTATTTCGCCTACAAAGAAGCACCGCTCATTTGTTTCCGAGTGTTCACAGCAGTCTTCATCTAAGTTAATTGCACAATCGTAAATTCCAAACTGGCCAAGCTCAGCTGCATGACTTCTACACACCCCTAAATAGTTCGTTGTAGTCTGGTAGCTCGCTTATGGTATTTCGCCGTGCTGTGGTATGCCCATCGCTATCAACATCGAATGATGCGGTGCTCGTAGACCTTTGCAACGAACCCCTTGCATCCTGATCTATTGTTGTTTGCAAGGATTTTACCGACTCCAAAGTCAGCTTAGAGGTCGATGACCCGCGTTGCATAGATGACATATTAGCCAACCTGTGTGTTAGTCTCTTTGCTAGACTCCCACTGCCACGCATGGACGTGTCCTTCCTTAACCTAGGAGAAGCGCTCGGGGACTCGTGTTGTTGCAGATTTCCAAATGATTTCGTAGATAAACTATCAATATGGTCGTACTGCGGTAAGCTCATACTCCACGAGTCAAAAGACGTACACCGTGCAGGCGATCGCGTACCATGCCCCGGCGACTGCATAGGCGATTCTGAGCCGCTTGTACCTACATTGTGTGACAAACTAGTTCGGCGCCTAACGTTTGGGACGGGACTCGGCATCTGGGCCGGAAGGGATATAGCCGACCCGCTCTGTTGTGTTATCAGAGTGCCGATCCTCTGGCCGCCATTGCTCAGTCGAGAGTTGCCGGGCGCTGTCATGTTGTTGGTTGAACTACTCGCGCTGTTTGATAACCCTCGGCTGGATGTCTTGGTCCGGTTCGACCCGTCATTCTCTGATCTATCGCTATTGACTTCGCAGTCTGGGCCGCAGCCGCCGTCTGCTTCCTCGCAATTGCTACACGACGGATGTGCGGCGGTGCCATCCGATGGTGGTATCAGGCTCCCATTGACATCCACCACCTGTCGGAGCGTTGAAGGAGTTGTGGCGGCCCGTCCCCTACTGCGGTTTGCAGGTGAACTTGGACAGCTATTGTGACTACCAGTGCGAGGTAACTCAGGACTGCCCCGACCGTTCGCAAGATTCGATGACCTCCTATGAGTCAAGGCATTCATGTTAATACTCCTTCTCATGCTCATGGAAGCAGTAGTTAGGGCTGTGGCCATTTGCGGGGTCGGCTGGGAAGATTGCAACCTCAAACTAGAGGATTCTGCTTTAGGAGAGGGATCGGTTGTATAACCTGGCGCGCCACTTTCCATCACTACGGGTATTCGCATTACAATTCTGTTCCCTCCCCAAACACTACATCGTATCTCAAGCATGTAACCCACACGTATAAGTAAAAATCCGCTGGGCCCGATCACGTGGCTAGTTGCGGCGGGAACTTCACTCTCCAGACTTTCACCAGCAAAGCTAAAGAACTGCGATGAATTATACGAGGCCCCAGAAGACGGATTGATGGAAAAATTAAAGTCTGTGGACACGCCTCGTGCAACCGAGGGATTTTTGATTTTCTGTCGCGATACCATGGTAGTCTTTCCGAGCCTCTTGCCCACAAGGAGATATGTGACATTCTGTAACAACTGCACGCCAATAGCGCGAACCCTCAGAAACCTGCTCATATTGAGAATCGAAACTGTTAATTTAATCGGCTTCCTATTGCTGACAGCTTCAGTTTCGTCCAGACTAGCACGCAGCATCAAACACTCCTTGTTTTCAGGAATATCAGGTTGGTCATAGTCAGTGCTCAGTATTGTGTTTAGTGCACCCAACATGTCAACCTCGATATCCTCGTCGCGTTGCATCTTCCCCAACTCGAAATCATTCTCGTCACTGGCGCCATGCTGAGCATAACTGAATTGTAAGTCGCTCTTCTGCACGTCTCCGCCAGCCAGTGAATTTGCGAAGGTTTCCCTAGTCACTGAGTCGAACGAGGGCGTAAGACTTTCACTATCAGCCGAATCATAGTCTGAATCTTCCGCATCTGAGCAAGGTTCGCTAGAATTCATGTTGGATCTACGTGAATTACGACGTTGATTTAAAGTGCTTGTAGAAGAGCCAAGTAGTGAAGTCGCGGAAGCGGAGGGTGAATCAGTGCCGACTTTACCGCTACTGTGACTTTTTCTAAATATTTTCCCTACCTTCGCCACCGAAACACCCTCCACGGTGGCCGGTTTCGAGTTCTTTGTGTACAAAGAATACTTTGTCAGTTCTGACTCGGCCAGAAGAGATACCACTGGGTCTTCACCTGAGTCAATCGTACTCCAAACCTCACCAAACAAACGGACGCGCCATTCGACACGTGCGTGTATAATAAAACCTTGACATTTGATTGAAAATAAGTGTCTCGTTTCGAACGTGGAAGGAGAACGTGAGGGGATGACAAAAGAAGCATCAAAAGTGTGAGGGTCCGTTGCTGCCTCCATACTGTCTGCCTGCAACAGCAATTCGTCTGACACGACTTGGATGCGCATCTGAACGTCGCCATTCCGTCTAGGGTATACTACTTCCGCCGAAAGCTGTAAGATGACATTTCTCAAACAGGTACCCTTCCCAACTTTACACATTACCTGGCAGTCGATTTCATCGTTATCAAAAACATCGACTAATGAGGGTGAAATCGAGAACTCTCCCGACGGTGGCGCAGGCCAAGTGCAGGCTTCCATATTCTTTACAGATCGTTTTCGGTACTTACAGATCTATTCAAATTGGTGGTTGTAGATACCTAAACTCATAATCCTTGCCGGGATAACAAACTTAAGAATCTATTAAGCTATAGATACGAACCCAATTTGTGTGGTCTACTCTTCTAGTGGTGTATACGACTACTTTCCTTTCTTCGCGTGTGTATACCAGTATCTAATTTAAATATTCTTCGCAAAATGACCGTACACAGTTGGTTCATTTTCTATTTTATATATATCCTTATCCACCCCGTCACACGTATATGTTTCAGGTTTTTTTCATAGCCTCCTTCCGAAAAACAACAAGTAAAAAATAGCCACCCAAGAAAATTGGAATATTTTACACATTTACTCTGGGGTCTGTAGACTCTCATCACTGTACGCGACTGTATGTACATACAATACAATATATATAAAATGAGGTTTTTTATGTAGGATGGTTTTTATCGAAAAAACTAAAACCCTCTCTGTTGTTTACACCCTGAGATACAGGCAGGTTTTTAAACTTTGAGCACAGCGTACACACAGAGTTTGTTCCTTCCGAAAAACCAGACACTACCCACGGTCTAAAAATAGGATTCTTTGTATTACATTTTTTGGAGACAGGCAAACAATAGAAAAATGAGCGCGCTTTTTGGCGCGCAAATTTTGATGACTGTTCAAGTACTGATTATGGAACTAAATTATGAACCCTTTTATGATATAGCTGTATTTCACAGTTTATAACGTGCAAATAGTATAGGAATAATACTATTTATTTCAACAACAACAAAAAGTTATAATGTATGTATGTTATAATGTACGAACATATGGTATGGCTCTCATAGCCGTTGTAGTGGTTCGGGAAAGATCGATGGGTAGAAGTGGTCAGTAAATTCCCGTTTGAAGCTTGGGCCAAGTGAGTCGACGATGGAGAATATGCGCTGAGCCAATTCGGGTCGGTGCTGACAAAACACTGATACCATCGAATGTGTCATGTATTCGCTTGCTGACCTACTAAGTAATCATCGCGCTTGTTGGTCCCGCCTATGATACTTCTGATCCAGGGCAGCCAGCACATACCGAATGTATCCGTGGTCTGGTGCGGCATTGGCTCACCCCCATCCTCGCTCCTCGACCGAATTATGACGGATAACCTGGTCCTACTCGGTATTTCGTACTCTGCACCAACACATTCCACGGCACTACACGGCGCAGACCAGATCCGTACTGGTTTGAACCGAAATTCGGAAGTGATGACGCGTTTAAAGCGCTCAAACACGCAGTCCAACAAGCCCCAGTTGTACAGGGACCAGTCGATGACGTGCCGTTTGAAATAGCAACGGACACCTCCAACTTAGCCTTAGGAGGAGTATTATATCTGGTTGTAGATGACAAACCTAGATATATACAATTATTTAGTCGAGCAATGAATGTTTCACAGTAGAATTATCCAACTGTTAAACAAGAGCTATTAGCCATAGTGGCAGCTCTAACACACTTCCGAGATAACTTATACGGAACTGCATTTACGCTGATGTGTGATCAGAAATCTCTTCAATATATGAAAGAGATGAAACCCGACTCACAATTACTGAGTCGCTGGCATGATACAATATCAAAGTTTTATTTTGATATAAAACATCTGCCAGGAATACATAATCATTTACCGGATATGTTATCACGCTTTGTACCGGACTTTAATAAATCCGTACGTGAGTTACTAGCCACTGACTGGAAGTGTAATCCCAGGTAATTTGAACTGGCTCAAAAGATATTTGGGCCACATACCATAGATATATTTGCTGTACATCATAATAACTATCGAATTACAGGACTTTAAATCATCCTTTGGGAGACGCCTTTCAAATATACCTCCCCAAACATAATGCGAGGGCTAATCCACCATGGCAGTTAATTGCCCAGCTATTGAATTATGTTCATATAAATAAAGCTACCATCACGTTGTGTTTCCCATTACGGAGTAAAGATCCGTGGCTCAATAAATTGATAAACATGATACAATGCGAGCCAATATATTTAGATAGGCAGAAGACGCCTTGAAGACATACTATAATAGGACGTATAGGTCCCATTGGAACAACCAAATAGACCCCTTCTGAGACCTGTAGAAATACGGCCTCCGGTCAGTCTAAAATATCAAGATCAATTGAGATAATACATTGGTTTTTATTTGTATTTTAAATAATTTAATACAAGCTCTTTTTCCAATATTTCCAAAGTGTTCTAAATTCACTTTGATGGCTTCAATAGCCTGAGTATTTGGTATGACTCATCTGCTTGGACCTATTTGAGACATTAGTAGATGTAGGATATTATAAACTAAATTTTATAATCTCCGAACTACTACTTATAGATTTTGGTCCTCCCGCCAATCTCCAAAATTCAATAAGTCTTTAACTTTTCTTCAGATGGAACTTTATTTATATCAGCTAATGTATTAACGTAACGTGACTTACGTTATTATGTCTATCTACAAATTAGGCATGTGGTCATGAACACTTAGTACTTCTAGTGAAAATTATTCAATAAAGAACAGCTAGAGGTACGCCCTGTGTGATCAAGGATATTTAGGCTCTTAACAAGAGGCAGTTCCGATCATTCTTACACAAGCTACCACTGCTAAATCCTAACTGACTAAATTGTATTTTAGTTTAATATAGTTTGAAATCTAGTAATTTCCATCGAAGTTTACAGACCTTCATTAACAAGGTCAAAGAATCAGAGATTCCACTCTTTACCCAATTGAACGTTAAGCAGTTCAAAGGCAACACAGCACTTAAAATCTGTGCACAAGAAATACAATCTACTAATGACACTGTTAAGAAGCCTCAGTCTCTAGCTAGGACTCTGTTTAATAACATAAAGTCCAAGCCCGAGGTCTTTCAACCCCTATTTTTAAAGGCATTAATGAAAGACAGTCCTGAAGCGTATACACATATAATGCGACTATTTAATAAGTCAGGTGTATCTAACCCACATGAGCGCACTTATGACACTCGTGCGAAAGCAGGACAGGAGTCTGGAAATACTACAGACTTAGAGACCACGCAAGTGGATTCTCAACACCCTACCTTTATTCTGGAGGAATAGAATGATGAAAACATTCTTGCTTGGCTGACGCAAAACCATAAGCTGAAGCACCAGAACGTAGTAGGCGCACTTAAAGATGCTAAGCGAAATGGGATCGCGCACCCTAATCTGGTAACTTTAGTTGACAGAGTATATCAGTCATGTACAGACTGTGATCTCAATCAGAACAAGCGCTATGGGTTCGCACCGCTTAGGAGTGTGGCTGAAAATGTTCCATGGCGCAGGGTCATCATTGATCTGGTTGACCTACCCACGTCCGAGCACACAGGCGACCGTTACGTATGCCACTTCTTTGATGTGGCGTCACAGTTTAACTTGCTCTATCCATTAAAGGATAAGAATACGCAGACCGTGGTAGAATTATGTTGCCAAGTCTTTGCTGACCACGGGTGGCCGGGTATTATGTGCACTGATAACGGTAGTGAGTTCTGCGATGACATAATGAAATTGCTAGTACTCGTATCAGGCATATGCCATAAGAGAGGTATGCCATATAAGCCGCAAACGCAAGGCGCGAATGAAACGCGCCATAGAAGACTTAAGTTCTTCTTGCGTACTGTATTAATGGATGATGCAGATGATTGGCCGTACCACCTTAAGTGGGTACAAACACAGATGAACGAGTGTGCTGATCCGGTTACAGGAACTACACCCGCTCACTATTTTCGTGGCAGATATAGCGAGTTACAAATCCCCTTTAACAAGGACGAGCCTGATCACCATGAGTTACCATGGTTAGAGAAGGTACAACGTATTTATAACGTTGTATATCCTTGCTTGCGAGAAATACGCAATATAGCCTTATTAAAATAGCAAAGCGTTGGAACACTACCAAGAAGATAGCAGAGTATCAGGTTGGTGACAGAGTGAACATTTGTCAACGTAATTCCGATGCTACTGTATTAACATCTAAAAGGATAGGTCCATATATAATCTCTGTAGCAGACACTAAAAGTGGAACGTACGAGGTAAATAACCCCGATGGTTCTAGTGTGCTTAATATAGGCACAAGTTGTATTCCTACTACAGAGATTATACTGGCAAGAAGACATGATTCTAATGCCCTTCTTGATCGTTCTGAATTTAAAGACATTATATGGAGAACGGATAAGGGAGGCTATACATATTATCGTACACGCTTTATGGACGGTACAATAGCTGAGTTGACTTCAGATACTTTCGATAATCAAGACTATTTAAAAGCCTTTAATCGAAAACGGCGTAAACGCCTGCATAAGTCACAAGCAGAAAAAGATAGCATGTTTCCATCGTCTGAAGGAACGGAAGTTAAAACTTATCCGCCTACAGCATTTATCCCGAGCTTTAATGCTCATCCTTCATATGTGCTTAAGACGCTGAAGCGTAAGAAACGTCCAGTCGACCACCACGGACCAACTGGACCTAAGCCCAAAACTCACAGGTTAACCGAGAACGCTTAACTTCTCCGTCTGAGAAACATTAACTATATGTTATGCTACTTAATGTTTCGACCCGTTTTTCCTTTCTCGCTTTTTGACCCATAATCAGCTTGAGTGAGCAACTTGCTTCTCATGGGTCTCAAATCTGGGTGGGGGCTATGTAATAAGCCGGGCCTCCACATTAGACTCTATGTTATAAACGTACTCTTAATAGTACGAGGAACTTAAGTTTCCTAAATGTACTCTTAATAGCACGAGGAACTTAAGTTTTCTAAAATGGGTTTTAATGGTTTTATTAATTAATACCGTTTCCATTTTACATCTCAGATATTTGGACGAGGCCATTAAAAGGCCTCAGTAAAATACCAAACATAAAGAGTTTGTCTAGTTCTATTAATAGAACTTTATTTACTTTCCAACTTTATTTATATCTGAATACTTCGGTAGCGAGATGGCTCAACCGAATATAGGTTTCTAGGGACTATTAACGTTACCCAGTTGATCCTCCGACCAGCCAACCAGATGTGCCAGTCTGATGAAGGCTAAGTCGGTAATGCTTGATAAGTGGCATGTTATTGGTTAAGACGATAACTAAGGACATCAAGAGTATTTTTATTTTTTATATTTATTTTTCTAAAGATAGGATTTTATGAGTCTCTCGGATTCGCCCCAATGAAACATA